CATCAGTGATTAATGCAACCCAAAGCTTCAGGGCAACAGCAGCAGGAAAATTAATTTCAGATGAAGGTAACGTATTGGCAGCTACGTTACAGCTCAGTTCTGACTCCACTCTTTATTTATTTACTTGGCTCACAGTGCCCTGAAAAGGTGTCTTTCCTAACTCCTGGGCACCCTTCCAGTCCATTAAAAAAGCCAGTCAGCTCAAATGACCGAGCCAGGAGCTGTGCCTCATCCCCAGCCCTTAAGCAATTAACCTGAGATGAAATTAAGCTGCTGCCACTTGCCATAATCCCCCCTTGCCTGTCTGGGTGCTGGTGCTGAGCACCCGGGCAGGGTCCCCAGCACCCTCCTTCTCAAAGCCACACTGCTCTGGGCTGTGTGCAGGAACAGCTCAGCCCACCCCAGCCTCAGCCTTGGTGTGGCTGTGGTCCCAGTGGTGACATCTCTGCCCCTCTGGGGTTTCTCCAGCTCCCAGGACGGGCAGGGAGGAGCAGGCTGCTCCTGGGGCTCAGTGTGTGCTGCCCCAGCTTCTCCAGTCTCTCTAGTAACTGAAAGCAGTGCTGCTCTGGAGTGAGCAGATAAGTTCTGTTGCTTAGTCCCACCTAATGCATGACTTTGTGTTGTCTTAAAGTTGCTCTGCATTGGGCTGAATAACCCAGGCTTGATCAAGGCTTCCAGAATTGCCTTGTCTTGCATGGAAGATACCAAGAAATAACAAATCCCCAGTCTAACCTCAGTCATTTGTTCTGGTGGTTGGACCTATCTCTCTGGTGGGAAATTGATTCTCATTTGAATTCATTTGGCTCTAACTTCTGTAGCCTCATGTTGGAGTCCAGGAGCCCTGTTTGTGAGGCTGCAAGTGGTGTCTGGGATAAGCCAGGCTCTCCTGGTCTGGGATGCTCTGCTCCTGCAGACAAGTCTGCTGTTGGCTTTAAGAAAGCTCAAAATATTAGTCTACCCTAAGCAGGTTGATTCCCTAGGAGTGTGCTGGGGAGGGGCTGGCACCACAGCACAAAGGTGTTTACCTGGTAGTCTTAAAATAGATGGAAATCATGGATGGTTTTTCTGCTTGGCCCCACTGGGTTGGCATGGAATTTGAGTAGTGTCCAGCCCTTATGTTGGTTCTTATGTACCAATTTCCCCTGCTGTTTTCTAATGCTAAGACCAAGTTATTTAAAAACAATATATCCCCAGACAAGCCAATGCATTTTGTTTTCATTGTTATGGCAACACATATAAAGAGTAATAAAGCTGGATCTTGGTGACTGTTGGAAAAGGTCCACGTCGGTTGGTGGTGGTTGAGTGGAGCCCATTCCCAGCAGCTCTGGAGCCAGCTGGCATGTGGCATGTGGAGAGCAGTGGGGTGCCCTGCCAATGCTTGATGCAAGTTTATAATATTTATCTTTTATTTTCCTCCTAGGATCCCCGGAGCAAACACAAATTTAAAATCCACACGTACTCCAGCCCCACCTTCTGTGACCACTGCGGGTCGTTGCTGTACGGGCTCATTCACCAGGGGATGAAATGTGACAGTAAGTGTCTGCCTGGTGGCTGCAGTTTCAGCAATAGAGGGGCTCTGGCATCCCGAGGTCCTGGGCACCTGAGCTGTGGCAGAAAGCTTGTCCCCTCTGCCACCACTGCTGGCACCCGAGGGGCTGGGCACATGTGGGTACCTTCTTACCTCTCCTGGGAGGCTCCTGTAACTGCTGCAGGGAGAGGGAAGGGAAAGGCATCCAGCTGGGGGATAATCCTGCCAGCATCCCCCACATCCCTCCTGCAGCATCCCTCCCCACGCCCCCTGCAGCATCATCCTCTCCAGGTCTCTGTTCTCTCCAGCGCTGGCTCCGAGTGACACCCGGTGGCCGTGGCAGTGGCTGCTGCGGTGACACAGCCTCCCCAGCAGGCTTGGGTCTGCACACACCTCAGGCACGGGAGTAGCTGAAGAATTATTGTACAGGGAGGAGAAAATGGGGGATGAGGCTGGAGAGAGAGCTGAGCTATTGTCACAGTTAATCTGGTGCATCCCCATTGCAAAGGGCTGTGAATGCCCAGCACCTACCTGGCTGGGGAGCAGCGGTGCTGCTGCTGCCACGGGCTGCCCTGCTCATACCTAGAGGAGCTTGCTGACTGTTGTGGGAACACTGTATTCATTATCACCTTCAAAATGTTGCCAAGTTAAAATGAATTTCTTTAAAATACACTCTTTAATATATGTATTTATATATTTTTACATGTATAAATGTTTATCCAGGTATCTGTGTGAATGCATAGATGAGTAGTTTTGATTGCCCTTTATCAGCTCCTGGTGGATTCAGCTGATTACCCAGCCCCATGGGTGCGGTGGGAGAGAAGTTGGATAAATCAGCAGAACTCAAGTTGTTAGAGTAAGGGCTGAAATTCCTGTGGTCTCTGTGGGCAGGACCCAGAGCTGCAGGTGGAGGGTCCCTGTGTCCCAGCAGGGCCCTGCTGGGGTCTCTGGCTGCCCGTGACATCCCATTCGCTACGTGTTTATCCCAGAATCCCTCACAAACATTTCAAAGGAGGATAAGTTCTTCCTCCCATCCCCTCTGAGCACCCCGTGAGCAGGGCTGACCCCAGTGTCCCTTTCCCCCCACAGCCTGCATGATGAACGTGCACAAGCGCTGCGTGATGAACGTCCCCAGCCTGTGCGGGACCGACCACACCGAGCGCCGGGGGCGGATCTACATCCGGGCAGACATCGAGAAGGACGTGCTCACCGTCGTAGGTGGGTGACCTGCCACCCGGGCACAGCCCTGGTGCAGCGTGTGCACCGTGCCAGGCACAGCAGGGCTGTGCCCGGTGCCCCCTGGTCCGGAGCAGGAGCCTGGCAAGGCAGGCTGTGGCTGAGAGTCCTGCCCTGGGCAGGCACCAGCTGTGGCCTCAGGGGCTAAAAGAGCTTTTCCAGTTACAGACTTTTCAAACTACTTGTCAAATTTCAGCATCCTGGGAGGGCAGGGGAAGGTCCCTCTGTTGAGCTGTGCCATGTGAAGAAGTTTGTTGTTTGTCTTGTGCTGTCCGTGTGATGAACGTCCACTTCCTGCTGTTCCTTCCATGCCCTTAGAGGTACCTGGGCCCTTAAGGGTCTTGGTGGGAATCTCAAGTGGTCCTTTTATCTGACTAGAGCTTTGCAGCCTTCTTCCACCAATGCCTCCCCCTCTGTCCAAGGTGTGTGCTGCCTTGGGTGCTCAGGGGCTGCTGGAGCAGGCTGGCCCTCTGGTGTGGGAGCACAGGGGATGCTGCAGGACATCACCCCCTCTGCACTGCTGTGGGGAAAGATCATCATTCTTTCCCTTTCCTTCCTGTTTCTTAGGTTACCCATAGAAGCTGTGGCTGCTCCATCCCTGGAAGTGTTCAAGGGCAGGTTGGATGGGGCCTGGAGCAACCTGGGCTGGTGGGAGGTGTCCCTGCCCATGCAGGGGGGTTGGAACTGGATGATCTTTAAGGCCCCTTCCAACCCAAACCAGCCCATGATTCCTAGCCCTGAAGGACAGCTGAAACATGGTGTCATGCTCTCAGGGCAGGCTTTTGAGTGACCACAAAATATATCTTCCCACGAGCTGCAAGCATCTCACGAGACAAGCTGCATTCTTCTCGAGCCTCTTGTCCCCTGCGTGGAGAGATCAGGCAGGAGATGTGACTCCCCTGTGGCAGCTGCTGGTGCTGCAGGTGCTGGCAGGGGTGGGAGGTAGGAAGAGCTCCCAAGGCAAGGCAGGCACCTTTGGAAGAACTGGGGTCTGTCTCACGGAGGTGGAGGCTGGTGCTGAGCCAGGGAAGCGATCTCCACGGGAGGCTGCCGAGCTGCTGCTGGTTATTCACAGGATGAGTTAAGACCGTGGGGTGTGAAATGCCACCAACCAGCCCACGCTGCCAGGGCCTGCTGCCGTGGAGTGGGTGGGGGGGGTACCAGGCTGGTGACACTGGTAACAAGCACCAGATCCTTCTCCATCATCCCACCAGCTTTGGCTGGCTCCTCCTGGAGGGGTCTGACTTCCAGCATCCCATGGGGTGGCTGGGCTGGCAGCAGGAGATGCAGGGGGTGGCCTGAGCTGGTCCCTTAGGGCGATGGGAGGCCCAGGGGAGTGTTGGTCCATGCTGGGCACAGTAGCTCCCTTGTGGAGGTGCCCAAGGGTGGGCAGGCACTGGCATGAGTGACCACATAAGGAACCTATCAGAGTTCTTATTCATAAGGAAACGCTCAGGTGTGATCTGGGAGGATGGAGAAGAGCCAGAATCCTTTCTGACCTAGAGAGCCATCAGAAATGTTTATTTTTTTTGTTTCATTTGTCCTTAAAGAAGAGCTTCAACAAATCACATGGCCGTTCACAACTCCTGCTTCCCAGGTACCTTCCCTGCAGGGACAAGGTGGGACTGCTACCAGTCCCACTGGAGGCTGGTGGGAAGCAGAGCTCGCCCTCCCGTTGCTCCAGAGCCCTGTTCCCACAGCTCCAAAGGCAGGGGAGAAACTCCCCTGGGCCTCTTTGTTTGTTTTTTTCTGTGCAGCTGGATTTTCTTTTCTTCAGCTGGGTTTGAAAGACTGTTTTATTTCTGGCCCTTTATGGAGGTGTTGGTGAAAACAGATCATCTGTTGGCTTTTCCAGAAAGGCAGGGAAACGTACTGTGTTCCCAGGCTCTGCTGCATCGCTGAGGAAGGAGTGGGAGCTCTTGGAGAGAGGAGAGGCTGTGCAGGCTGCTGAGGGAGGGCTCTGCCTTCCCCAGGCCCCCTGGCACGTGAGGGGCTTGGGATTTTCACCCCAGAACTTGGAGGGGAGGTTGGAAAGACAAGGTGGTACTGCTACCAGTCCCACTGGAGGCTGGTGGGAAGCAGAGCTCGCCCTCCCGTTGCTCCAGAGCCCTGTTCCCACAGCTCCAAAGGCAGGGGAGAAACTCCCCTGGGCCTCTTTGTTTGTTTTTTTCTGTGCAGCTGCATTTTCTTTTCTTCAGCTGGGTTTGAAAGACTGTTTTATTTCTGGCCCTTTATGGAGGTGTTGGTGAAAACAGATCATCTGTTGGCTTTTCCAGAAAGGCAGGGAAACGTACTGTGTTCCCAGGCTCTGCTGCATCGCTGAGGAAGGAGTGGGAGCTCTTGGAGAGAGGAGAGGCTGTGCAGGCTGCTGAGGGAGGGCTCTGCCTTCCCCAGGCCCCCTGGCACGTGAGGGGCTTGGGATTTTCACCCCAGCACTGGGAGGGGAGGTTGGAAATGTCTGCTGGGACCCACAGAGATGTGGGAGCTGCATCCTGCTGCCATTCCTGGTGCCATCACTGGCTTTGGCTGCTCGTGGGGGGGGGCACAGAGATTCCCCCTCCCCCAGTGAGTATTTGCTTCAAAAAAGGCAAGAGCCCTGCAATAATGACTGGGTTTGTATCACCGGGCTATAAAACCTGGCAGGGAGAGGCCAGAGGCTGAAAACTTAGCCCTGGAGTTGTGGCCAGGGCTTGCTGGGGAAGGCACGGCCGGGGGGTCTGGGTGTGTGAGCACCAGGGGCTGCACGGGGGGGTCTCTGGGGGGGCTGTGCCAAAAAAAGCCACCAGTGCCTGTTCTGCAGGACCTGCCTTGGCTGCTCCCCCACCCCGGGTGGCCCCTGGGGACACGACTGGAGGGCAG